GAAGGGAGAGAAACTGCAGTCAGCTGTACCCACACCCTGATGATCAACTGAAGGCAACTGCATAAACAAGATAATATGGTTTGCAAGAGGACCGAACAACATCAGATAAGTTCTTCTGCTTTCCTAAAATTAATTTAATGATACTTATGTTCCACAGAGATAGCATGAACACACGCTTCCTTATTCCAAAATCAAATATATGAAGTGGCCTGTAAGGATAGCTGAAAGGAAGAAATAAGGTGAGCAGTTTCAAAAAATGCTTTGTTTTGCATTTTCAATCTGAACCAATGTTCAATTTTCTCATAGACTACGAAAAAGGTATGAATGTGCAGCTTCTAGGTCAGTCAGTGTATCTAATCCATATATGACCTTACATTCTTACTGCAGAGTTTCACTATTAGTCATTGTCATCACACAGATAAAGATATATCAGTTGCTTGGGGTTTTTTTGTTTTTGTTTTGTTTTTGTGTTGTTTTGTTTTTTATTGGTGCTGTCATTTTGCTCTAAATTTGCAGTATGTGGGATGTACATAAATATCACAGAACAGATATTGGTACTCATTCTCCCAGTAAGGGAGAGGCCAAAACAGAATAGAGATTGTGGTGTTGTAACACATCTGTTTTGGTTCCTGCTAAGCTTCACAAAGGGGCTTGTTATGTTGGAAGAGGTGGTGGTGCAAAGAGCAAGCAGGGGCCAAGTCAGTATATTTAAGAAGGGAATGATTTTTCTGCATAGGGTATGGAGCTGCCTATGAGCAGAAGCTAATTAGCATTTCAAGACCCACCTGCATAAAGTCCTTGCTGCAGCAGGAAGTACAATAATCCTAATCATTTTTCTTCAGTAAGTGCAGAGGAATTGCCAGGTCACAGCCTGAACCAATGGTTAAGCAGCAGGTGAGAGAATGTGTGGCTAATCCAGAGAGCTCAGGTGCAAGCAAATGCCTGGCTCCACCCCTCCTCACCCTCACTTAAGGGTTAGCAGCTGAGGGAACACTATTTCTCTGGATAGAGCTTGCATTTCTCTTGAGCTGTCACTGGTCATTAGAAGGAGTGAGCTTGTTTTTTTTTTTTTTTGTTTGTTTGTTTGTTTTGTTACCTGCTATAGTTCTATAGTGCATGCATCCTTTTTAGAAGGCACTGTTGTTGCCTTCTTTTGCCATACAGTAAAATTTTATTATTGTAATCTTTGTCTTTCTAAAGAGAGAAGAAAGAAATACTGCCTGGGAAGCTAATTGTTGGATATGGGAGGAAGGGGACGAAGGCAACTGAATGTAGAGAAAACAAGGTAGAGAATATCAAAGTACAAAATGACTGACAGAAGTAGACTAAAGGCAGAATATGTACATAACAGAGGTCATGTCATTGCTCACGTTGGTTCAGAAGAAAGCAGTGTACTTGCTGTATGCCATGTCCTACAATTTAGTAAAGCCCTGCAGTTTCGTATGGCCTGTAGCAATGCACAGTGTAGGTTGAATTAGAAATCTGTCTGTGAATCATAGCTATTCCAAGTGCTATCGGAGCCAAAAAGCTGGGTTGAAGAGATGCATGGGTGGTTTACAGCTAGAGAAACAGGGAATGGTGGTATTTAGACACGGTGCTGGGTGTTAGTTCTTTAATGATCTGGAAGATCAGGGAAGGGGACTCTAGGAGATCTATGTGAAAGTAAATTTCTATAGTAAAAAACGTCCAGTGCAACTCGGAAGAAACTTTATAAAATAATAGTGATAGAAGCCAACAAAACAAGTAAGTTCTTGCCCCTAGACAGAGGTTTCTTCTGAGGAAAAATCTAGACTCAAGTCTTTTTCCTATTTTGCAACAAATGCTATTTGCTCTTTTTCTGAAAGAGTTCATGACTTACGTTTTTCTTTCTAGCTTCCCCAGCCACATACATTTCCCTTTAATATGAATTTTTTGGTATCCTTAGTATGCTAGGAGGTTCTTCTGGAAGATAGTAATAATTACACCCTGCTGTTCACCACATCTGTTTATGAGAAGAACTGTGTTTTCTGCACAATCAACTCTGCTGCAGTAGACAACATCAGATGCTTATCACAAAATGGCTGTGAATACTAAGACTGAACTTGCAGCAACACATATTGGAATGCATTAAAGTACTCTTGGAAGCATTCATCTCTAAGTGGATGCTAGTGGCCTGAAAAGCACTATTTTATATCAGTATCTTGGTTTAACTCAGCTTTTTGTCCACAAGTTGGCAAGTCATTCAAACGAGAGTGGTTTCTAATTATATTATAGCTTTAGAAATGCTAGAACTCAGAATTATGTCTAAAAGTAACTCTCTTTGCATTTTCATTCCCTTTGCAAAATTCCCACACTCAAGACATCATAATGAGCATATATCTTCAAACCACTCTCAACTGATACTTCAATAACCTGTTTGGGATTTGTTTAACATCTTTAACCAAGAGTGATGAGCAGGAACTACTTGCAGCTGCAAATGTGAGTTACAGCTTGCAACCCTACACACAGAACTATTTTAGATGCACACTGACAAAAGAATCAAAGCTACCACACTGGGGCACTGGGCTACACACTCAAGTAAGCACAACAGTTCTTTTTCTGCTGGGTCTTGGTGTCCAAATTAATGTCTGGTTATTAGCTTTTTCATTATTTCCAGCCATAGGCTGAATATCTAGCTTCAAAATATAAATGGAAATTATTAAAGACATCTGAAATATATTCAGAATGTTTTCTCATCGGAGAGGGTGAATTGCATACATATAATTTTTCCTTCTCTCTCAGTTAATCTGTACAGCATCAGGATTCTTTAACACTGCCCTCACCAGTTTCAGTTTGTACCCTACTAAAGTTTTTATTCTTGCCTGTGAGGAGCTTAAGCATTTGCTATTTACAGGTGGTGTGTGAAGGAAAACTACACCGGTATTATTCAGTAGGAATGTGTGGTAGAAAACTACCTTTAAATTAGGATAAAATACTGCTTGTAATTCTGAACTAGTACAGAAATTATCCACTGCGAAGGTTTAGGTGGTGTAACTGCAGATAATCTTTTTAAAAGTATTTGCTTAGTTTATGGAGTGCTCTGTAACAGAGAGAGATTTTCTGTTACCCTTAATGTGGCCCCATTTTTCCTTGCAGAAACAGTTTCTAAAATCCAGAAGAATCTCACAGCACAGTACAGTAGATACAAGCCAAACATTTTTTTGGCTTCAGCTTATTGTACAGTGCTGTGTGATTCTTTGGTTTTGCTCTGCTGAAGCACAGAACAGTTTCCAAGCTGCAAAGTCTTTCCACAGCCCCCATATGAGCAAAAGTAATCAGATTCTAGGCTCAATACTGTTTCACATCAGCCAACTCCGTTAGTATATTCCAGAATATTGCTTTCAGTCAGAAAGCAATAAAGAACACACCCATAACCTAATTAAATGTCCATACATTTGCCAAACTACCCAGACATCTCTGGAAATGGTAAGCACAAAGAGAAGTCAAATCCCCAGTCATGCAGTGCACAGGAAAGATGCTGAACTTCTCAGGTGTGTGTTCCAAATGCTTAATGAGAAATAGAAGCTGTGTGCACTGGGAACAAGTCAATGTGTCAATTTATCAATATCGACAGTTCTGTCTCGTAATGTTATGAAGCCAGAGGAAGCTACTTATTGTTGAGAAAAAAGTTGTAAGTTTACAGGAAAAAATGAATATGCACAATGAGGAGTCAGACTTTTTGTTTGTTTTGAAAAACTATTTTCTATTGAAAATGATTAATTGTAAATAGAATGTTTAAACAGTATGCCAGTGGGAGGATTCTGTCCTGTAATGTTTAAAATACATTCACTACTGGGAGCAGTTTGGACTGGTATGCTTATGGAAGAACAAAATACTTAGGCACTTCAATCAGGATGCACTGTGTCAATTTAAACAATATAAAGTTTAGCATTTCTTGCTACTGTTGCTTTTAGGAACATTTATTCATTTTGTCCATCCATTTCTCCCTCAGGAGGCACAAAGAGGGGCTATTGGAAGTGTGCAATTAAATGTGAGGAAGAAACCTTTTCAGATGACACTTGAATCTTGATACCACAAGCGGCTGAATGTGAAGTGTCCACTTTAAAAAGTTACAATGGAAAAGCCAATCCCATGTCTTTTTTTGTCCTCAAAAATATTTGGAGTGGTATTTGTTAATTCCTGATATCTCTTTCCATCTCTCTCATATGTTTATATATAGATGAATGTGTAAGTTTGGTTTTCAAAATCATTTCAGATTCAGTTTTTTAAAGAAAGAACTGAAAAATATAATGGAGGAAAAAAAAATTGTGGACTGTAAATGCTAGCCAATTATTTTAGCATGAAATGTCTCTCCACAGTGACTAGTAAATCAGCCAAATTTCACAACAAAATTAGAAACATTTTACTTCAGAAGTTTGGAAATGAAACAGGATTTTTTGCCCCTGTGTTCTTCTGTCTTCCTCTTTTTCTGCAGAAACTATTTAGTCACATCCAATTCACACATGATGTGATAATAAGACTTTTTGCATGACCTTCATTTAATAAGCTTCATTTGGCCTTGGAGATGATTCCAGTAATTTTACATTATACAGTATGTTTCTGTCCATCCTCTTGTGAGCTTTGAAGTCCTTCATTTTTTGTTAGAGACCTGTTCTCCTATGGAATGAATTCTGGTCAGAAGCAAGCATGGTATTTCGAATGAGAGAATGGTTCCTTTTCCCAGGAGAGCTGGTTAAGGTTAGAAGGTTGTAGAAAATAGGCCACGCTTCTATCAGTCATAGACTAGAAGTTTCACAACTTCCCGAGTGCCTTAGACAATTCTTACTATCCAGCAGTCTTGCCTCCTCTGCATTCCCTGACATAAAATTACTTTGTCTATTACACACGTTGTGACTTCTGTTGATCATTGAGGGTGAGCAATTATTTTTATAGTTCAGTTTTTAATTAATAAAAAACAAAACAAACAAAAAAACAGAGCACTAATTGAGACTTCAGCATTGTAGCAGAAAGCATTCACTTACCCTATGACAATGCAGGAGATGGCAGTTCCCAAAAATGCATAGGTTAAAATTGATCCTAAGTTACGAAAGAAATGTCTCTGGGGAGGAAAGTTTGAAAAAACAAAACAAACAAACAAAAAAGTCCTTTGTAATACAGTCAGTAACAGAACATTAAAACCAAGTTGCATCTAGATGTGCCATTCCATCCATTCTTTTTCTTGCTACAACTCATAGATATAAAATGAAACAGTACAGGCTATAGAAGTTGTTTTGGAAAATATGATTTGATTCTTTTTTTTTGTCTCTTGGAGTGCCTTTGCAATTCTCTCTCTTATGTGTCTGGCAGAAAGCTTTAGGTTCACAGTAAAAAGTGTCTGATATAAACTATCATGACCTTATCCCTTGAGTAAGCTAAGTTTTGATCATGCAGTGTATAAAAAATACATAGGCTGCTGCCTACTTGTAGTGTTACCAGATTCAAAGTGGCCTCTTCTGAAAATAGCAATGTCCACAAGTTACAAACTGCACAATCAAATCTTTGCACAGTGACAGGGAGCAGATTGCATTTTTTTTTTTTTAACCATTCCTGTCAAGTTCTTACCATGCAGTATAATTGTTAACTGACTTTTTTTCTCCATTACTGGTCTGTTGGATCTAAAAAGTAGCAGTCACACTAAGCCATTTCTGTAATTTAAGACAGAAGCACTTACCTTCTTTAAACTATATCCAGCATGAAATATAATAGGTGGCAGCAAGATATTGAAGAAGATGGAAGGATCAAATGTCATCTGCCAGAAAGGACAAAAGAGAGGGTAAGGAGACAGAACGTTATTCTGAAATCTGTTTTACATATTAACATGTAATTCCTTACAGCTCATATATGTAAAATACTATTTGAATGTTTAAAGAAGGAAATTGGTTATGAATATTTTAAATATACAAGTAGTGTTACCTGTGATGCTGTCATTACACTACTGTACCACCCAACTGGACAGTCCCATGCTTAATTCCTGGTTCAGATGTGGACTTTGTGCACTGTTTCAGGAAAGACTCATGTATGTTGTATTCAGTTCCCCACTTACTTAGCAGTGACAACAGAAAAGATCTGCACTACCCAAACCAAACTAATGCTTCTTTCAAAACATCTCTATGTAGCTCCAAACAGAGCTAGCTAAAGTTGCTTGATAAGCTACTGGCTGTCACTTCTTTGTGATCACCCTTTGTGATTCTTGCTCCATCCCACTGCCTGGCACAGCAGCAGACAACACTTCATACTCCATTACAGAGTTTGTTACACTCATATTGCTGTGTAGTGACAACCCCATTCCCAGGTCCTCTCTGAGTGCAGCCTGCCTGAGATGCATTTGGAGCCTCCTTATGCATGAGGGACCAGACAACCTCTGTCTCCTTTGTTTTGTTTCGTAAGAGGTAATAATTTATTGTACTGCCTCCTCAATGTAAAGCTGAAGCTGCTGTATGGGAAATTCACTGCAGGAATAGTTCAGAAGTACTGTTTGTAACACCGACCAGTTATCACTGAGCTTTTCTGATCATATCTTTTGTAACCTCAGTTCACCTTGGGGCATGAAATAGAGAGAGAGAAAATACAAAGAAAAGCAGTTGGGAGACACCAGTAATATTCTAAAGAGGCCCAGTTTCCTGAGCTTCCTAGACTAATTCTACCACAGCCAAGAGACTGAGAAATGAAATTCTGTACAGAGAACAGGGGTTGAGACTTCATCTCAGCAATCTTCTCTTTTGGGTACTCAGCCAAGCTGTACACTGAGCTCTATTACAAGCTTTTAGGAATGGAAGACTTCAATTTAAAATGCTGTTATCTGCTTTCAGATATTCTGTCAATTTTATTAGAAAAGTATTTGTGAATTGAAAGTGAAGGCAGTACTAATGTTGCTATATGTCAAAGTACAACATTACAGAAGACTTAAACCTAGATGTGTAAGAATGACTCACGCACCAGTTCAGTCCCAGTATCTTGTATGTGAATAAGCAGAATTGTCTTCATCAAAACATGTGGGATCAGCATCCAAATACAAAGTGTTTCTGCAAATTTCTGTAGCTTTTGTTTCTCTAAGATATTGTACCTATATCACGCTAGGAATAAGGAGGGGATTTCCCACTCTCTAAAGGTGTTATATAAATCTTACTTTAATGAGAGGTGAAGTAGCATTACAAAGATGGTACTAAGTTGGTGATTTTGCTGGCTCTCTAAAACCATATACAAAATAATGGCCATCAAAATCCAGAGTGAGGATATTGTTTTCTACTAAAATTACTTAAATTCCCCTGGAAGTATCGTTTCAAATATGTGCAGTTACCTACAAAACAAGACCCCAGGTGGTTTCTAAGTAACTTTATTCCAAGGTTTTATTTTTGTAATTTGGTGAGGTTGAACTAATTGTGGAACTCGCTAAGTAATTTATGCAGACTCTGAAGCCTCATCAACTCACACAGAGATTTATTGAATCAGATGCACTCATAAATTAGAATGCCTGTCTACTTCAGATCACTCAATCATTGGAAACTTTACAGTCATTTGCAAGCAGCTGGATTTTCATGAATACTGTAATAAATTTTACTTAGAGCTATAGTAAAGATTGTCAGAAGGACGCTGGGTCAATATATCTTTTCTGTGACCAATCAAAAAAAAAAAAGCTCCTTAGCTCTTGAAACCACTGTACTGTGTCTCCATTTGAAAAAAACATTAACACTGATAGAATCCCTTAGCCAAATGTTGTATACAGATTAATGACTAAATTGCAATGAACACATAAAAAATATGCATAAAAATCTCTGCTTTAAGTGAGTTTCAGAGCAGGCTGTATTTGTTTTCTTCCTTATTTTCTTCACTATTTGCTTCTGTGTTGAAAATAGACTGAGGTCCAATATATATATATATATATACCTGGATAACAGATTTGATATCAGATGTCAGTGGCCATTCTCTGAGTTGACTCTGCTTATTTTATCTAGTGTCACCAACAAAATCTTTAACTGATAAAAAGAATATTGTAAAATTTACTTTTGATACTTAAGAAAGTAAGAATGCTTCACAAGACAGCCAAAAGTCTGAAAAACTTCAGAGAAAACTCATGTTTGTACAGTCTGTCAGATGAACATTACCTGAGAAGCTAATTCATGATTGTTACTTGTAACAGTATGAGCATCATTCATTTGCAGATCAGTAGCCAAAGTAACTTTCTCCCCATTTCACTATAGCTATTTTTTTTCTCTGGAAAATTCTCAAGGCCTAAATTTCAATCAGTATAAAATACATTAACTTCTTTCATTTCAGAGAAACCATATCAATACATATGAGCTATAGAGCCAGTTCATTATTTCCTCTTTCAGTTAGGTGGGAAATCTGCCTACCACCTATCAAAATTGACAAGATGAAATATTTAAACTGAGTATCATAGAGTATGAATGCAGGACAAACAATCTTTTTTGTAATAAATCGTGTTTGTAAGGATTTGGGCCTAGAGTATGCTCAGCCTCATTTTATTCTCCACAGAAGAAATACTTAAAGCTTTTTCACTTTTTCCTGGTGCTATTCTACTTGCATATAGAGAAAACTGATCTCTGCCAGTTGGTAGCAAGCTCTGAGATTGTCCTTCAGCTACTAAGAGAGAACAACCTAGCTTCACCTTCAGAGAGCCGTCTTCCTCCTTTCCTTTTCTGATCTAGTGTGGGATCAATGCTTAGCATAAAAAGGGCAATTAGTGTAAAACCCAGGCAAACCAACTTTACCCCTAAGTGAGTGGAGACTGCTTAAGAGTGCTAGAAAAAGACCAAAACACCATAGAAAACAGAAAACTTTTCAGCCACCCTATCTCATTCTTTATTTTCTGAATGCCATTGCAAATACTGAAGTGTCATGAAACTGGAAAATCATCCAGAGTTCACATAAAGTGCATTCCTCACCTAATGCTATTTCGTATACATAAACACTAGTTGTTTTTTCTACCACAGCTAGAAACAGCAGTGCAGCTGTCAGTACACTGTCCAAGTTTGCCTTCAATTTCAGGCACAGACAGTGACCAAGAACAACTTTTAGTCACCACACTTCAAGTAACTTTCAATAAATAGAGTGCTGTTTAAAGCTGGAGAAGAAAATAATATTTTCAATAAGCCAATGTACTGCTCGCTGTTCTGTCAGCAGCTGTGCTACTTCAGTACCTTTACAAGAGACAGAACACAATTAGAGCAATGGCTTGCAGCTCCTTTGTTCAGATAAAGTGGTATTTTAAGGCTACACGTACTAGACCAATTATTTAGATTTGGAAGAGTGAGAGCTGCCAGAAAATGACTTCTGTCTTCTTGCTAGCAGATAGCTTCATTTGATAAACAGGAAGTGAGAACTCAGCCTTTTTTTTTTTTTCCATTCTGCTTACTTAGAAATATAAAAGTGACAAAAAACTTGCTAGCACATAATGTGCTGCTAACTTCATGGAACACGTGATAGAAAATGAATTCTCTTCACTTGCAAACTCAAGTGTTGACTTTGGAACTAATTCAGCAAACATGTTAAAATATTTCTTCCATAGGCATCAGAAATCTTGAATGAATGTTTTACATTCAAAATGAATTGAAGGATATATCTTTGTAAGTCACAGGGCAGTCTGTTATTTCTGATAAATGCACTTAATAAACTCATATACTGAAGTCAAAAGGGAATTGCAGTTGAACAAAACCCAGAGCATGGTGTGATCATGTTTTCTGTTTTGTATGTCAATGCTTTTGCCAGCGAGGAAGGCTGCCAGGCATTGCTTTTGTCTCCTAAATACTGTCCAATGTCTCCCTCTTCCCTTTTTTTACTTATTTTTTTTTTTAATAAGGCACTTGCCCTCTTAAAGTGAAAATGTTAGCAGGCTCAGACCTCTCCTGTGATTTAGAGAAACCCACAATTCGTAGTGGAGACTTTTAAGAATCTTTCTGCAAATTGGGACCATGGAAACAGGAGTGGGCAATCCCCTGTAAGGGCAACAGGAACTTCTGTCTTAGCCCTCCTCCCTTCCCATAACGTGAGCCAGCTTCAGTATACCAAGTTTGACGAAAACATTCAAATGTAATAGATAAGTACATAAGAATTGAAAACTAAACACTTGAACTAAGACAAAGCTCTCACTACTAGCAGGAAAAAGGATGAAGACTCAGCAAAATCTGGTGAGCGTGACTGCCACAGCACTTTCCTGTCTCCACCCACCACAGCTCTTGGTTTTCAGTGTCCAGTCTAATTCTCTCTTATGCTGTTTGGAGGCTAGCAGCAACTACAGACAGGACATGAGGCAAGGACTTTGAGCAGATGGTTAAATCCAAATTCTGCTGAGATGCCCAGTGCACATTCTAAGCGTAAATTAAAAGCTTTGTATAACTATAACTGCTACTATATACAAAAATATGTATTACTGTGGTAGATAAACAATGATACTTGTTAAAATCAAAATACTATATTGAAATATAGTAAAAGACATTTGTAAGGGCTTAGGACCAGCATATGTGTATGTGATGTCTTTGAATTTAAAGTTTTAGAGGGATTTTGGAAGGTCTCTCTGCACTCATGAATTCCTTAAGTTGCTGTCCTTTTTTTGAACAGATTATCAAGAGAAGCAAATATTTCAAAGGTGGAGAAATAATATACTAAATAATTTGAATATTTTAAGTATTACATATTAAAAAATAGAAAAGTCCACAACATTGCAAAGGACTCTAAATAAAATAAATAAAAGAAATATCTTGCACAAAAGAACAAAAATAAAATCATTTTTACCTTTTGAAGCATTGCATTGCCCTGGTGACCATTGATATTGTGATGGTTGATCTCTCTTTTGTATTGGTATTCATAGACCTGATTAGTTATATTAATAAGTAGACTGGATGGCCCAGATTTCAGCTTTTCACATTCATAAACAGTTCCATTTTCAACATCTGATGTTTTTGTTGCATAGCGTATAATTAATCCCATTACAAGGCCTGCAGAGTAAGAACAAAACAAAACAAAGAGATTCAGGTGAGTTTAAGCATTTGATGCTGCACAATCGTTGACTTGGAGAAAAATGAACTTCCCTGCTCTTGCTCTACTAAAGCTAAATGTTATTTTCTCAGTGTTTCTACCTTCACACACGTACACTTAACTCAGTACTCCATGGGGGACCATAAAATATTCTTTCAAAATGGTAATTTCATTAGAGTACTGATTTTGGTTTGCTATGTCCTCAGCTGTACGCCTATTCTTGCAATCCAATTGCAGGAATCATTCTGTTATAGCAGTTGACTTGCTTAAATACTGTGCTTTCAATAGATATTGAGAGAAGGGGCATGAATGCATATCTGAAGTGCTATGCTGAGCATAAAAAAATCAGTTGTGTTCTTGGTGGTTTCACACATTTCTTCATGGAGGTACATTTCTTTCTTTCTCTTGGCGCTAGTGGGAGCTTGAATGATTACTTCAGGAGAATAACTGTTATTTATCTAGATAACGTTGCTGGAGATGGTTAATTGTGGGAAATAGCGGATAGGAATCTGAAATATAAGTTTCATTATGTAATGTCATGGATGCCGTGGATAATCAAAGTGGTCATAAGCACCTGTCAGGTGTCAGTTATTTTCACATTTTTCACTAAGAGACACCTCTGAACTGCAGGCTTCTAGAATAGACACAATGCAAGCTTATAGATTCCTAGACTGATGATGCAACAGAATGACATCTGTATTGCACATTTTGTATGTACATGCATTTATGCTTGTTTAGTATGGTCAGTTACTTTGGATGGAACAGGATTTAGATATGCAGTAGAAAACTTCAAGGCTTTTTGAAGATACAAAGCATTTGTGTAATAAATCAGATAATAAATCTAGCTGTAGTAAAAGACAGGATTCCTCAAAAAAAAAAACCAAGAGAGCACTTCCTTGTTTCATGTACTTTGAACCAAATTCTGTTTGATAATTTAAAAAATAAAAAGCATTCTCAGTTACAGTAATGTAATTGAACAAAATTGCTTGAGGAAAAAAATATTTCAAAATTTAGTGTCAAATTTAGACTAGGAGTCAAGAGGGACTGTTCTTTTTTTGTATTCTTATAAGACATTATCTCCAGTGGCAGATTCAAGCTACGTCTGTAAGAATTTTCTGGGATGGAAACAAATTATCTGATTTACTACACAAATGCTTTGTTGATCATAGTCATGCAAGATAACCCTTGATTATAAATAAATAAATTTGCAGAAAATGATTGCTTTAAAGATATGACAATGGTAGTTGTAATTCTCGGTCAGTGTTGATCAATTCTCTGCAACTGGCATTCAAGTCAGCCTTTGGATTTTCTTTTACAGTTTTAGTTCTTATCCTCAGATGGAGTTCAGATTTGGATAATACACTGCAATAAAACAGTGAAACAATAATGAAAGTACAGGCAAATTGTGTGTCATCAGCAGCATACACATATTAGAGAATTTATATTAGAGCACATTCTAACAATCAATATTCTTAGGACACCAATGAGGCTTTGAAATCCTTTTAGCTTTCAAAGATATTCTATGATGCTTTAGATGTGAACAAAATATAGATGGGCTCTATAACGATGGGCTGCTTCAGAATGTTGTCAAATTCTCTATGGAAAGTTTGGACAAAGACAATTGCTGTGGCACTACACTATGCTGCAGGAATCAGTTAAGGTGGTGGAATAGTATTGTTCCTTCTGTAATAATAACTGTGCCAAAGTCCCTAGATAAAAATGCAGGTAAATTAAAAATCTGGGAAGATTATATATAATATTTCAGTAGGTATATCATTTATGGAATGCACTTTCTTCTTAATGATAGAATTCAGGAGTCCAGATTATTAATATAAATAATTCATTTTTAAGTAGGTGGATAATGTAGTCGTCTTTCCTCTACTCCACCTTCCAAATTGAAATCATGATTTTGTGAAGTCATGCTGCTATAGTGTAGAATAGTTCTTATAGTTTGTTTAAAGAAAAAAAGTTTCTGGGAAATACCATGGTAACCATTTTTTACTATGAAAAAAAGCTGACAATTTCTAAGACCTGAACCACGTTTCAAATTTAATGCAGTTTTTCCAACTTCTGCATATTCTGTAAGCAGAAAAAAGTCCTTAATCACAGGGAAGAGTATTGGAAGGGATTTTCTAAATGACCCATGCCAAATTCTTGAGCTAAGCAAGATTGTGTTTTCTTTTTTTTTTTCCAGAACTTTGTCTGGTCAGCTTCCCTTTAAATAAGGACATTAAGGGAACCTTCAGAAGAGGCTGGGCTCAACAAGTATTCCCATTGCATACCTCTCAGGAATTGAGCTATTGGGGATGGAGTGTTAGACCTCCAATCTCAGCCCTCCAATCCCTTCCAAATTTCATGAAGCAGCTCAAAGTCCTCTGACATGGAGCCATTTCTTTCTACTAAGTGCTGTTCTGCTGTGTTCTGTTCTTTGTCATTATGGTTTCCTTTCAGTCTGATAAACCAGTTCTATGGAACACAGCTTTAAAAGCAGGTGGACCTTTCACCAGCCTCACCTTCATTTGTATTCCCTAGTGTGAGAACTATTCACACTGAGAATGGTTTTTAACTGATAGAGCCAATGAGACTAACAGATAATGTCACCATATTGATGGGATGATGTTTTGGATTTGTTTTGTTTTTGTTAGTTTTTGGTGAAGTTTAATTTTGGTTGCCTACCTCCAAGAGTGCTTTAACCTGTTAATTACACATAACTGGTAGCACCTGCACTTCAGCTCTGACCTAAATTCTGAGGTAGATAAGAACTTTGGCTGCTTACAGTCTACTTTTTTCATTTAGTATGCTCTGGACAATTCCCTTTTAAAATGAAGGCCTGTGAATTATGTGTTCTGTAGGGAATTTTTTGTTTATGATTTAGTGATCTAGAGAAATTCAGCCCTACATGAGATGACTAACAAGATTTAGAAACACTCATGCACAATTTCTTTTGAAGCCTTATTTGGTTTTCTGTGTACACTCTCAGTGTGTTTGAGAAAGTGCTTACTACAGTGCTTACCATCTAAATATGTTAATTTTGCTCCTTCTATTCAGGGTAGCACAACAGTACTCTTTCATATTCACCTGCCTCCTTGATATACAGAAACAAGAAAGTAAGTTGAGGCTCTTGTTTAGGGTCTGTCAAAGCAAGCTAGAATACACAGAGAAACCTGTCCCCCAAGATCCTGGAGAACAAAGTGGTGACGGAAAAACTGTAAGTCTGCGTTCTTTGTTTTTTTTGTGAGTAACTGACTTTTTATTTGGTGCTGAAACTGAAGAACTTGAGAGTGTTAGTAATTTAAAGAGCTAAACACCTTGAAATAACTGCATACTCTATATCTACAGGTAAACACTATTTGAACAAAAAAACCCACCTGTGCATGAGCTTAAACCAAAGTTATTCTTTTTTATTTTTTGGTAAATATTGAAAGATTATTGGTGTAAACAGAGCAGCTATGTTTAATGTAGAAACACTGATTTGATTAAGAAATCAATTATTTTCAATTTTTAATGTTTCTAAATAGACTATTCTCAAGTTGTTTTTTGTTGTTATTGAAACTGTTCAGCCTAAGGATGCATTTACCCAGGAAATTTATGTAGGGGGAAAAATGTATGCATACTTTAAACAGAACGTGCTATCAGTATGTTCTTAGTGTCTAAGTTGTGTCTGTTCAGCATTTTGCTGTGTTTGTATCTCTGTTCTTGCCTCCTGGTCTTCTCATATTTCACTTTCGCCATGCCTTCTGCTGCTATAGCTCTGATGGCATGCTGTCTTGATAAGGAATACAGACCCATCCATCATACTGTAGAACACAGTCTGCAAATAAGTGGCAATATTCTGTCAAAAGGAAAACTGTTGGCTTTTTGTGCTGTCATTCACATATCTAGGAAACAGCACAATGGACTACAGTAAAGCAAGCTGCAGGGCAGGTGTATTATAATACAAAACATATATAAAAGATAACTATTCTGATAATAAAGACAGAAATTGTGTAGGAGAAGATAAGCTGTAGCAAAGTCACTCAGGCTTAGCTGCACTGAGAGTAGGGCAGGATTTACCTGACTGTCACTACTTGGTGCTGACGATTTCCTGAACTGATTTTTCTCCTGGAGTTGCTGTCAGCTCATCTAACATCTCTATCATTACCTCACAAATTCCACTTTATTTTCATGATCACAATTTCATAATGCTGAAGATACCCAAGCCCATATTCAAAATTTTGAAGAATAGAAGGGACATGATCAGCTTTCTAAATCCTATGAATGAAAATGTTTCCATGCTTAAAGGTCACCATAAATAATGCAAGTCTAAATAGCTTATTTGCAACCATGGGGATCATTTCCTTAGTTCATGACTATTTTAATAATTCAAAAACTCTGTCCTGCTGGAGCACTGATCTCTTTATTGATCAAAAGAATATCAGGAGCTGGTTATCTTTGTGATATGTAGATTGTGTTTTGGGCAGGCAGAAAAATGGAGCTAGAGCAGATAGCAAAGTGGAAGAAGATAAAACTCTAAATCCCATCTTATTTGTCTAATGTCATATTGCCCCATTTGTATTTCCCTCCTTTTTATCAGCTTTCAGCAAATGTCATCAGCTGCACATGGGAAACTACAATAGCGGGGAAAAGCTGTCACAGAAGTCACTCATGCAATTATAAAAATAGTAGTTTACAAGTTGATTAGTTCACCTGCCATAATCTACAAGTTGATTGCAATGAAAATATTGCAGTGTTTGCATGTGGTGTGACACAAATATTCTTCAAAACTGCAGCTTTAACAAAATTGGTTTTGGTATCACACTGCTGAGTATTTAACATGCAAAGAATGGGATGCAGTCTGGGATTAAGATGAGTCAAGATGAGCTCTCTACAGAGCTGTAGATTTACATCTTTTTCTTCCATTTTGATAATTATACATACATTGCATGTGTGTCGCATGGCTACAGAATCAGAAATCATACATGAGAAAAATGAAATGATAGCAACAGAGAATGGCACGATAAGCCCTTATACACATAAAACTATACAACTAGTGAGTAATTCTTATTGGTGGGCAGTGCAGAAGATTTCACATGAAACTGATGCACAGTATTGCAAAACAGCATAAAAGAAGATTAGAACTTGACAGGCAAATTGAAATTACAGTACAATGACAGCATTCAGAGATTACTCAAGAGAGGCATTCTTCGTAGTCTGCTTTTCTAAAGCGCTGTGGGGGGAAAAAAAACAAAGTCTCAAAATGATCTAAACTTCATCAGATAACATGGGTGGATTCATAAAGCTTCTTAGTCTAAAACTGAATGTTATACAAAACAAGTGTGTAAAGCAGGCACGTTAAATCATTTCTTTAACTGTGGGCATTTGTATTTTGAGAAATAGTAAATTCTCTGACTTAGGAGGTGTCATTCAGTGGCAGTCCGCATGTACAGGAACATAACCTGCACATCTTGAGGTTAAACAGCCCATGATTTTCACTCAACAAGTCAACCTGTACCTACTGCACAAGAGATGATATTACATTCTTATTTTACTGCACATTTAAGGGGCTGATGGCACTTCATTCAGCTTGTTTTCTGAGCTTTGTCAGCACTTGATCTCAAGTGCTCGGTTATAAATATGCAACTACTCCTATGTCAAACCAGCACTTGAATTTATACTCACCATAAACCATAGCTCCTCCAGTTTCATGCAGAAAGCGGAATCGGTGGTTTTTAAACAACCAAATTGTTAATATTGTAAGAATGAGCAGAAAGTTAAAGACTAGCAACTCCACAGCTCCCTCGTGATAAAACTGATCTTCATCTTTCAGCAGTGCATATTTCTTCAACTTCTCCATTTCATTCCCTTTACAGAGAACACACACAATATAAAAGAATGAAAAAAATCACAGAAGGAAGGTGTTATCACCTTTGGTTTAGAAAAGTCCAGAGGCTTTAGCAATTCACAGCAAGCACATCTGCTTGATTTGCAGCCTCACGGTAAAGTGCCCCAGCTCAGAATTCAGCTGGATTCTAGTTACAGCTTCCTGTTTCTGTCTTAAAGCTGCCCTGTCTTATTTTTAATGTTATGGTTGCATCACTGCACTGTGCTTGTTCCAGCTGTAAATGCACAAGTGTCTGTAAAGCTCAGGCTCTGCCAATTTTCTCAGATTTTGTTGTAAAACTTAGTCTGCATTCATAAATTTTCATTCTGAAACACAATCTGAAACCTAAAAATCATATTTGGTCTTTGTAGTTTTAGCTGGAAAAACTGACACTAAAAGAATGACATAGCAACCTTTACTACTCCTTAGAAGTTTATAAAATATCTTTCCACTTTCCCACTTTTAAGTGTAAGCAACATAGAAGGTGGTATTATGTTTTTTCAAGAAAATCATGGAATGATTTAGGTTGGAAGGGACCCTTAAGAACATCTAGTTCCAACCCCCTGCTACAGGCAGGGACACCTCCCACTAGACCAGGTTGTTCACAGACCTGTCCAGCCTGGCCTTGATCACCTCTGGGGAGGGAGCATCCACAGCCTCACTGGGCAACTCGTGCCAGCGTCTCGCCATCCTCACAGTAAAGAATTTCTTCATAATGTTTAGTCTAAATCTACCCTCTTCAGTTTAAAGCTGTTTCCCCTCATCTTGTTGCTACATCCTTATAAAAAGCCCCTCCCAGCTTTCCTGAAGGCCCCTTCAGGTAATGGAAGGCTGCTATAAAGTCCTCTTAGGAGTCTTCTCTTCCCTAGACTGAAGAGCCTCAGCTCTCTTAACCTATGGCCGTAGGGGAGGAGCTCCAGCCTTCTGATCGTCTCTGTGGCCCTCAGAGTGCTGGAGTACCTCCTGAGCAGGGAACAAGGCATAAGGATTTCAAGGCTTAAGCCCTGAACTCACCTTGATCCTGTAGGTAGCCAGAAGTATATGGAAAAGCAAAGGTTGTATAACCTAGAATTTAAAGCAATTAAAAAAACCCAAACCTATCAAACTGAATAAAAAGCAGTAGAATTTCCTTTATACCATCTCTGCTATTTGCATGTTTTCATTGCTCAAGCCAGGAAAGCAGCAGAAATTGTATTACTCTTAATAGTTAATCCTCATGGAAGATTTCTGTCCTGGCCTAAAGCTGCGGTATTGTGCTGTGCAGGAGGGAAGAATTCTAAAAAAGCTCTCATATTCAATCTATCAAGAAAAAAATGGTTCTGCTTCTAAGTACAAGGAGATAATTTTTTCCTCACTGTTCTTTTTCACAATTACACTCAATTTTTTATTTTTATTTTTTTAAGATTTTGGGCAAACTAAGATATAGAGTATTCATTCCACATCAAGTATTGATCAAATACTTGAAATAAATGCCTAGATGTCTATACTATTGGTAATTTCAGGGCTGTAGCTTATAACAGAATGACTGTTTCTAAGGAGGCACTGTTGCTTCAATCTACAATGTTTTGTAATCACTTTCACTCGGCAAACAATTCAGTTTCCTACTAAGCTACTTTCATCATATTTTATGTGTTCAGATTTTCTTTCACTTTCTGCGAAGAAAAGTAGTTGTCCTACAGTTCTTTTTCACAGAATCACACAAGACCACATAACGGCTGGAGCTTTGAGTCTATCTGCTCCAAGCTCTGTTTGAAAGACCACCCAGGGCAGGGATCTCCAACGAGACCCCACAGCCTGCGTTCCCCATCCGAGTGCTTTATTACTACACAGCACAGAAGCACTTCCTGGTTCAGAGGAAACATCCTGTGTCAGTTTGTACACAGTGCCTCTTGTCCTGGCACTGGGCACCACCGAACAGAGCCTGGTTCTTTTAAAATTCATGTGTTTTCTTCAATTACCAGGTGTTTTTTCTTTATTACTGATTTTACTCTGCAGTTACAGTGTCCTCTCTCTCATTTGTAATTCTCTTATTTTTATCTTTCCTTCTGTAATTTTACCTGATAATTTGTAAACTTCATTAGTACAAAGCCAAAATTGTATTTCTGACCTGATTATTCTGTGGAGTGTCAGAGATGAAAAGTAGGCCAAAAAACCCCATCTGAAATTAATGACTCATGCATTTCAATCTTAAAAAAAGATAAAACTTTGATGTTATCTCATTATAAATGGAAAGGATTTAATTCTTCTAAAAATATTAAGAGTCACATGGCTGAAGTTTAAAACTTTTCCGAGGGACGAAAAAAGAATGAAGACTTGATATCACCTTCATAGTTTGGAAATGACAGTGACCTCTGCAGATATTGTGAGACTGATCGATGCTTCTCCATTGAAGATGAACAAAAGCAAAACAAAATAATTTGAAATTAACCTCCTATCTATCTATCACTATAAAAACCAAAGTTCTTGGCTCTCCTCACCAAATAAATAAATTGCAGGTGCTCAAAATTAAAGGAAAAGCAGCACAGGACAGTGGAAGAAGGGCATTTTATACTGAGGATCTCAGTGATTATGGTATTCATATCAGGTTTGGAGGCGAGCGAGGTTCAATTTCCTCTTCTATCTGAATCTGCCTGAGCCCTATTTCTTACCATATAATGTGGAATTTCTCTGTCTTAAATGTTAGAGCAGTTGTGCTATACAGCACTAAAAACACTTAAGTGTTAATTTCCCAAAGCTTCACTTCCCCTATTGCAAAGAAGGGCTGTAATTCTTCCTCTTGCCACAAGATAAGCTGCAGCATGTTTGTGAAACAATCACACGCTATAGCAATTTACACCATACCCAAGCATGGATGGAAAGAAATAATTTTGGTTTTAGTACTAGATTTGGATAATAAACATATTTTAATTTATTACCCCAGAATGAGTAGTGGAAATGGTAGGAATGTGAGTTATGCATTCTCTGTGTCCTATCCACTTGCATACTGTTCACATCACATCAGAAAACCAGTATGTAATCATATGAAGGTTTATTGCATAGGAGCCAAGGCAGAAGAATTTAGCTTGTAGCAACAACTGGAATTCTGTATTTCCCAGCTGTTGTCTCTTTTAATATGAAGTATCTTAGAACATACTAAACATCCTCAGAAAAAGATTAGAAAAAAGGGTTATGCTGGCTATCACATATGCAGTGCAAGTTGGCAAGCAGTGCATTAGTGGACCAAAATTAGTATAGTTTGCTCTGCTTTAATTCTTCACTAAACAATTTTACCTAGAGCTTCTAAGTGTTTGTTTGAAAAATGTTATTTAAGGGGAAAACAAAAACCAGACCTTCTTCAGGAAGAATTTTCTAAAAGCAAATATGTTATGGGGAATAATTAAACTTTGCAGTGGTTGATCTGCTCACGTCTCTGGGTGTGAAACTTGCAGAAAGAACCAAAAGGTCATCAGAGGGAATCATGCTGAAGGTGTTGTTGGACTCATTGATTATAAGAAAAGACATCCCTGTCAAGAAAAGCTTTACTACAATAGCACCATTATCCTCAGGAAGGAGGGTTTAGACACTGTCAGTCTTGCTTCAGAATCACAAAACTTTGCCCTACTTGGGAAAATGTTATGGTTTCTTAAGACTTTTTTTTTTATTTTCAATTTGTTTTTTCTTTTGTTTCTACTGAGCAAAAAAACCACAAACTTGTTCTGAGATTTACACTTTTATTAAGCTGTAAGTTTCTGAAGGTTGACTTTTAACTAAATGAAGGCTTTTATGCATGTCCCAGCTGAAACCAGGGCACTTCCTGAATGGGGTTTGGGCTTAACAAGTTAATCTAGACACAAAGCAAACTTTTTCTTTACTGATAGTCAAAGGAGTAAGTTTCCTTAACTTCAACATAACTGTACTGATAAAAAAATGCTTATTGCTGTAATGGATGAGGATAAATTACATATTTTATCACTTCAACTGCTTTCATATTGTGGGCTGCCTAGAGCTGAATTCTTGTGGTAGAAAAAAAATCACACCACTACAGAAAATAGCTAAACTATTTCAAAACAGCCTTTGAGGATATACAACAGCTGTTGGATCCTAAGTCTAAACATTTCTCTGCTTTTTTGTTGTTGTTGTTGTTGTTTTTTTGTTTTTTTGTTTTGTTTTGTTTTGTTTTTGTTATTATAAAAATATCTATTACAGCCACAGAAAAGTTGGGAGGAATGATATAAGATTTCTATCTCTTGTAGTTAATGCCTAGGCTAGGCTAAACAGTTCTGTTTGTGTGTACAAGCATACTTCAGTGAGTGATTTTTGAATGTTTTTCTTCGTGCACAGCAGTAGATATTGGGGAAATGCTATAATTAGTGTTTTCTATTATGGAAGATTTAAGTTGCAAGTATTGGACTTGGGTGCTTAAATTCTGCCAAAAACATGGCACAATTGTTTGTATAGTTTTGGGGAAATTTGCTTCCAAATAGTATTTGTCATGTTACAGGGCTGGCTTTCCTCCCAGAGATGTAAGACAGAATTTTAAATCAGCTTTCCCAACACAGCCACCCATCACAGACAAGGGGATCTGTGATTGCATGAGAGAATAATTTTCTTTAAATCTTTTAAAATACAGAAAAAAAAATCTGTTTCTTTATCTGTCTGTATAACTGAAAAATTCTAGCGTTTTACAACATAGTTGTTTCCTGTTTGAGGACACATTTGCCTACAGAGATAATGTTTTCTTTTTCATCTTTCTGATTTATTGTCATCATTCATTCACTGTGAAGTGGTGACACAAAGCAAGAGGTAACTTTATTTTCCCTACAAGACACATGAGACTTTTTTTAAAGCGAGCTGCCAAAATTTACTACATTTGTAGAACACCATTGATTTAGCTGGATTCCTTACAGATACTACCATGCTATTTAATCTTAAGACTGGGGAGAGCAATAATTATATAATTTTCAAGGCTTGTTTGTAAATGGGCTAAGATCATTAAGTGAAAAATGACATCTGAATAAAAGTTAATATCAGCTTTTGCCATTCACAGTTATTTTAAACAGCCTTTACAAACAGTAACTAATGCTGATTCTCTTGTACTCGTGTGTTAAGGCATTTGAAAAATATCATAATGGCTGAGAATATAGTGGAAAAGAGGTCGTCTTTTTGAATTTTAACTTC